CATCATTGCCTCTGGGAAATGAGCAAGGATGATGGGAAGATCAGAGAATGCCACTAAGCTCAGGGCAAGAACATTAAATCACAATTTTTGCCAAGTATTTCCGGGGAAGAAGAAGCTGTTCTCTATAAAAGTTCCCCAAAGATGCTGCTGATTATCTACCTAGAGCTGAAATCCCAGAAATCCTGAATCAAGACTTGAGCCTGTGACAAACAATGTGATGCAGTCTCCTAATTATTAGTAACAGAAAATCTCAAGAAAGAAAATAAAAGTGGAATACGATGCAGGCGTCTCTCTGATTTAGCCCATGTAAATAATTATATGTATACATGGAACACTTACTAGGATACACATCTATGTAGTATGTCCAAGCCCCTTTGTTATACAATGTCTACCCACAGCACTGCCTCCTAAACATCTTGTTAGCTGGATGATAATTCTTTTTTCTACGCTCCTCCTTAAGGACACATTTTTAAAGAGAATTCTTAAGCCTCTAGCAGTTATCTTTTGTCCTATAGTTAATCTCTTAATAAGACCAATTTAGCTGTAATATAAATGGTAATGCATCGTGTACTATTTACTGCACAATTCTGAACTTGCTCAGAGATTGCCTATAAGCAGGCTGGTGTTACCCATGGGCAGAGTTGGTTAGGAGAAACATGGAATGTTTTCAGAACCATAGAGAAGATTCACGTTTTTAACCCTTGTTCTGGAAGAGTTATTTCAGACCTTGTCAGCCCTTCAGAGGACTGCCTTGGGCATGTGTCTGTTCTTAAAGTCTGAGGGATACAGACTCAGACTTGGGTTAAATGCATAACAGTAACTGGGCTGTATTTGCAAAAGGGCCTATGAGCATAGAACAGGACAAACAGTATGACTTAACAATCATTCAAGGAAGTTAGAACATTACCTGTGAGTGAGGTATATTACCAGGTGTGAAACACAGTAGTAATATTCCATTTGAATTTCTTGGGTTGTATGTCTACTTCCTTTTTTCACAGATTCATACTACCATTATTGGTTTAATTTCATTTGCCACTGTTGAGTAGTCTGCCATTTGGAATGAGCTTGCATTCCATCTGTTGTAAGTGAAGGATTTGCAAGTGGCATTATTCCATATTTTCTTAAGGATTTAACGTGTCACTAGCTTTCAACTGACTCTACTAAAGGGCTTTTTGCCAGAACCCTACCTGATGCCAATTTTCATTCAATCTCCATAAATGTTTATTAATACAATAGTGCACAAAATCTTCTTTAACTACTGAGCATGCCAAAAGAGGTATTTGTTTTTCTGCTTCTCTATGCCCATATTTAAACATGTTACATAAATATGTCCACACCTAAATCTGTCCCATCTTGTTGATCCATTTTTAAAATTCACACCCTGCCTTGTATAAACACAACCCAACCATGAAAGTAATTTGTTCATGAGTCATAACCATACAAACATTGAAGTAATTGTAAAAGCAGCTCTTGTTAGTTTGCAATTAGGGGTATTAAGTTCTATATCATGCTGCATTCGATTTTCGGAAAAAAGTCATAAAGGGTTTTATTTGTTAATACTCAATAACATTTAATCATAGACAAAGACAAAGACAAATATATATCCATTTCAACACCTACAGAAATAACTAGCTGCCCTGGGTGCATCATGGCAGATGGTGCTGTTTTCTTAAAGAGTATATACAGAATATATAAACTGAACAGGTACTTACAGACATGCCACAACAGGCTGGAATGGTCTGTCTATTTAACATAATATTTTTAAGGCCTCATATTCAGTATCAGAAAAAAATACCTGTTGTATAACTATAAATTTGAACCAAATGTGCTTTAGAGCTCAACAACACTCTGTATGTAACAGTGATTCAGAGAAGGTACAATTCAAAGGTAAATCTACTCTCACTGTTAAATAAGATCTGAGTGTCTCCCTGTACTTCACAAGGTAGGAATGCCATGAATGGATTCCTCCTAGAAATCTTTGTAGTACCCTGAGTTCTGGCAAGGTGCACATTATCTGCCAAAACTCTCCTGATAAAGCAGAGTCCTCAAGCCACCTGGCGAATCTCTCGGTAGCAGAAGTCACTCCTCCTGTGTCAAGTGTCTCATTTATCAACTCCTCCCTCCCCCCTCACTTACCTACACTGAATGTGCTTAATATCTATCAAAGTTATCCCCTGCTCTCCAACATCACAAACACTTCCTACATTGGACTTCTTGACATTTCTTACCATTCATTAAAATATTTCTTAATTGATCTACTAGTTTCCAGCTGAATTCCCTTCCAATTCATTCATTACACGTTCAAACACAAATCTCATCACGTCACTCCTGCTTCATATCTTCTAACGATCTCCTCAGTAACTCCAGGACTCCCGAGTAGCATTTCCACTTAGCTCAGGGACCTCAAATTGTACTTTTTTTTAAAGCCCCGGCTCCATTTTCACATCTGCTTTGTGCCTATACTCAAACACTCTCTGCCCTAACTTCTCTAAACTTGCCGTGCTCTCCCATTCAGGGCCCTTTGTTGAGAATGCCTTTCAAAAGCTAGCTCAAGTATCTGCTCTTTCCTGAAGATTTCTCAGAAAACATGTGTTAGAGGAATGTGGGATGTGGTGAAAAGCTCGCTCTGCAGAGCAGCTGGTGTTCGAAAGTGCTGGGATCAAATTCTAATTCTCCGGCTTGGCTGTGTGATCCAGAAAAAGCTGGTTGGTCCCCACACATAACATTCAGCCACAGCCATCCTCGTTAAGTGGGTGCTGCCACCACGGGAGAGGACAAGTAGTCAATGCCTGAGCACCCATGGTCCTTCCCACTCTGGCTGTAGCGATTTTTTAATTGAGATATAATTGACATATAACATTGGTGTGTTTAAGGTGTACAATGTGTTGAGTTGATACATTTATATTTTGCCATGATTACCACCATGGCATTAGCTAACACCTCTGTCATGTCACATAAAAGATTTTGTGTGGTAAGAACGTTTAAAATCTAGTCTTTTTGCAAGCTTGCCAGCCTGTCATCTTTTAGGACTTTTCCCGTGTTATATGCTCCTGTCATTCCTGGACCACGATTGTCTCTGCTTCCTTCTAGACTTCCTGGATCCCTACAAACCATCGCCAGTACTTCTTCTTTCCTGCTGCCTCTATCTGGCCAGACAGCTTAATCTTTGGCCTTGGTCTGGTCTTTAAGTATATATAATATACTTAGAGTATAGTGAATATATAATATTTAATATATATAATATACTTAAAGTATATATAAAAATATATACTATTTATCTATATATACTACTAATATATATACTATTACTAATATATTACTAATAATACATACTAATATATATAGATTGATATATATTAAAATATATAATATATGCTCCTAATATGTATATACTTAGACAATACACATTTTTAACATACAAAAGTAACTTCAACTATAGTTTTTTGCCTACATTAATATGATAAGGTTGCACTGCCCTCCATCTTTCTGGCCTAATCTCCCCCTCTGTATCCTCACTCTGGAACTCATAACCTATTCTAACTGAGTCACATAACAGCATTGATTACAATTTATGGTATACTTACTGTGTCCTAGGCAGGATACAAGACAGTTTGTATACATTGTGTTATTTAATTTTCCCCCAAATCCCAGGAGTAAGTGTTACTAGCACCACTTTAGAGTCAAGGAAATGAAAGAAGAGGGGTACTTACCCAAACGCCACTCGTAAGGGCAATATTGCTGCACATACACACAGAGCAAGGCAAGTCAAAGAAAGGTGGTAGAATAGAAAATAGTGTATGTGTATGTGGAGGGTTAAGGGAGTAGTGGTCAGGGACTGGCAAAAAAGGAAAAATCAGGGAGTAAAAGAGACACCTCAGAAGGATTTGTAGGGGAAACACTACATTGAGTATTTGACATGATTCATCTGACCCCAAGACCCCCATCCCAATACCTCTTCCAACTACACTCCTAGACCCTGACTTTAAGTCTGAAAGACCCACATTCTCACGACATCTTCTTTTGCTGTCCAGGCCTAAGGAATGTGTGTCACCCAGAGGTAAAGCCAGATGCCTCAATCTTGAGTGATAGGGTCAAAAGCAGTTGGAGACTGGGGAGCCAGAAAATGAGAATCAAAAGTATTACCAATGGGGGCTTCCCTGGTGGCACAGTGGTTAAGAATCCGCCTGGCAATGCAGGGGACACCAGTTCAAGCCCTGGTCAGGGAAGATGGTCCATGCTGCGGAGCAACTAAGCCCGTGAGCCACAACTACTGAGCCTGCTCTCCAGAGCCCACGAGCCACAACTACTGAGCCCCCGTGCCACAACTACTGAAGCCTGCATGCCTAGAGCCCGTGCTCCACAACAAGAGAAGCCACCGCAATGAGAAGCCCACGCACTGCAACAAAAGTAGCCCCTGCTCGCCACAACTAGAGAAAGCCCATGCACAGCAACGAAGACCCAACGCAGCCAAAAATTAATTAATTAATTAATTAATTGTTTTAAATAAAAGAGTATCACCAGTGGATCATGGGCTGCGTTGCTGAGTTAAAGAATTTTATAAGAAAAAAATTCAACCAGGAATTTTGGAAGAGATGGCATCGGAACATAAACAGCACTGAGTCAGAAATCAAAAGGACGTTAACTGCAGGTGGAAGAAGAAGTTAGAAAGAAGAAAAAAATTGGACTAACTATAACTGTATTTTTTAAGATTAGAAAGAATCTGTGCTCTGAAAAATAATCATTATAATAACAACAGTTACTGTTTTATAAACACCTATTTTGTGCAACATGCTTTGCCCTCCTAATCTCATAAACCTTACAACAACCTTGTAAAATGGGTGTTATTATCCCTATTTCACATGTGATGAAATCACTCATTGCAAAAGAATGAATAACCTGCTATATTAGTCAGAGTTCTCCAGAGAAACAGAGCCAACAGGATATATATATCCTATATAAATTATATATGGAAAGAGATTTATTATAAGGAATTAGCTCACATGATTATGCAGGCTGACGAGTCCCAAGATCTGTAGTCAGTCAGCTGGAGACCCAAGAGAGCCAACAGTATAGTTCTAGTTCAAAGGCTGGCAGGCTGGAGATCCAGGAAGAGACCATGTTTCTATTCAAGTCTGAAAGCAGAAAAAAAAAAAAAAAAAAAGTCTGAGCTCCAAGGAATTCAGGAAGGAGAAATTCCTTCTTATTCAGGGGAAGGTCAGCCTTTTTGTTCTATTCATGCCTTCAACTGACTGGATGAGGCCCACCCACACTAGAGAAGGCAATCTGCTTTACTCAGTCTATTAATTTGAATGAATGTTAAACTCATCCAAAAACACTCTCCCAGAAACATCCAGAATAGTATTTAACCAAATATATGGGTGCCCCATGACCCAGTTAAGTTGACATAAAATTAACCATCGCACTTGCCTAAAGCTACCTAATTTGTAAGTACTGGAAATGGGATTTAAACCCAGATCTGTCCTTTGAAAAAGTCCACTGCTATTCATCTATGCTGGAAACATGGGACCACAAGAATGACCTAGAATGTATGATTCTGTTACTTGAAGTTTTTTCCGAGATCATTGAAAAATTAGTTGCTGAGTGATTAGCTAGAGCATTTGGCTAGATTAGCTAAAAAGCCCATTTAATTTTTGTACTTGAACCAAATGAGGTACGCTGGTACCAAAACACCTCAGAAAAGGACAAAGGGGTTAATGGTGCTGAAAGAGCTCTGAAACAGGGAGAAGCCAGCCACCTGGATTTCTTTCAGTAATGCAGGAAAGTTTTTTCCAATGTCCACAATTTCACAGCCTCACACAAATTACATGTCAATTTGAGTATAGTCAAATAAAGAGCAAAAATTAATTTGAAAAAGGTCCTCCTTTACACTTGCAATGGTACCTTTCTTGCAATGGCTCAAGGGAAAAGGGAGAATCACATTTTTTTGGTTAAAATAAGAAAGTCAACCCCCAAATTATAGGTGATCAATACTTGTATTCTGTCCAGACAGCTTAACAACTTTTTGGAAATCAAACATCAGGAATATGTTAAAGAATTAGCTGATTGAAATTATAAATCAATTCTGTTTTTTTCCCCCATGGTTTCATGAGACACTATATTCTACAAAAGGGGAAACATACTGCTCAAAATAAGCCTGGTTCAGAATGTATCTGCAGGTACAGAAATTACAACTCCTTGTTAAATGAAAAAGAGTTATACATGAATGCTATTCATAGAACCCACTAACTAATATAACCATATGCTCTTTTCCTCAGTTAGTTTTACTAACTAAATATGTACTATTTTTAAACTTGTCTGAGGTTTTCTGAACAAATCAGTCCAATGATAAGCCTTCAAGATTCCTTCAGCATCAGAAGAAATCTTTCCAGAATTTATTTTTTTCCAGAAAAAAAAGAACAGTCTGATCAGTGAAAGGATAAAATCCATCAAATTGGAAGCAATTTGATGTCTAGGATGATCGTATGTCTGAGGACTAATAATCGGTTGTGGTATGCTACTTCTTAAAAAAGATACTTTGAGGTTATGCACATCATCTGTCTAATTTGCAGAAATTTGCTGAGTCAAGCAGGTCTGATCCAGTACACATTCACTTTTTTTTTTTTTAGGCCTTCAGATAAGTATCCTGTGGGAAACGCTACTTAAAATGGCAAGCCCTGAAAAAAAAATTTAACATCTTACTAAATATGAGGTTGGAGGTTACCGTTGTGAATTTATATAAAGGTAAAATAAATTTAAATTGGGGCTCAAAATGTCATGTTCACACTTTCCTAAAATGAGAAACAGCAGTCTAGATGGGATAGCCTTGGACTAAGAGTTGAGCCTGAACTCTAACCTCTGAACCTGGGTCTGAACTCTAACCTCTGAACCTGGGTCTGTCCTTCTTTTTCGGTGACATACTCAGGTCACTGTCCTTCGGTTTCTTTATAAATAATGCCTAATATGAGAATAATAATTACTTTGTATTTCAAATGTATGCTATGATGATTCTATAGAAAAATACCAAGGAAGGAATGAACAAGAAAGCCCTTACAGTAATGACAGAAGAGTGGGCATGAGTAGGCAAATCAGGAAAAAACATTGGCACTAAAGATCTGGATGAAAAAAGGTAAGAGGAGCAAAACACGGAACGGAGTCAAAAGAAAGCAAAAACCAGCGTTCCCAAATTATACCAATTATAGTTTTGAAAAGAGGGAGAATTAGAAGTTCCTGAAAGTAGAGGATTTAATGCTTAATAGGGAAAGGAGGGAAATGCAGTAATGAAAAAGAGGAAGAAAAAGCTCTATCTGGTGTTATCTGATATCCAGCAACTTCCCAGAAGACCCTGAAGAGAAGAAGAAAGATCCTTAGGCAGATCGAAGTATTCTAGAGTGTATTTACATTTTTACGTGTGAGAGCATGTTTGCTTCTTTCTCTTATTTGATATTAAAAAAACAGGCCAGAGACCCTTAAAAGCTTTTTTTGGTAGAGTTATAATCAGGAAAAGATGCAAAGAAGTCAGAAATTGCCCATATAGGGATTAAGTTATGAAACTTTTTGACTAAAAAGACATGGAAATATTTCCAAGACACATTGTTGAAACTTTTCAAATGTCAGGGTTGTATGATGTAAGTTTGGGAAATAGCACACTGATTTATTTCCAAGATTTATTTGGGGAAAAGAATCAGAAATACAAGCTGCAATTTGTAACAGCACTGTTCAAAAAGCCAAAAATGAAGATTGTTTACATATTGTATTAGAAACGAAATATTGGCTAAAGACAACCACTTTTTGTATTCAAAGAGTACTGCAGTGTTAGAATTCACCAAAGAACTTAATGAACTGATATGAAGTTAGCATAGAACAGTACCTAAGCTAAGGAAGAACTGAAAAATGGATAGCTAAAAAATGCCATCCAAGGAGGTATGTTCTTGACCATTTATCCACATAAATGTAGTAAGAAAACAGATGACTCAGTGAAAGAAGCAGCAGCTAGCAAATCAGATGAATAAATAGCTGGTGGATGTACTTCATTTTTAGATTGCCTTCTTTGCTACATAGATTTAGTTACTTGAAACTGAAAGATGCACATGGACTTTTGGGGGAGAGCACCTTCTGGAATGTATAATTGTATTTGTTTCAAGTAGCGCTTTCTAATCATCACACTGGTCAAAATGCCTTATGCCCTCATTGTATTGGTAAAGGTGACCAACAACAATAGTTTTCAAAAGGTTTTTGTGGAAATGTGTATGAGTTTTGGTTTAAAATGAGGACTATCTATTATTGTGTTTGAATGCTCTGATCTTAGTGAAGATCCTGCAAAAAGAAATAATACATCTGAAAAGGATGTAATATATAAGTATGTTAACAACACAAAACTTAAAGAAATAGTTACAGGAAAATTGTAGGAAGAAAGATCCAAAAATGGATAAAGCAGCAAAATGTTTAAAGTCTCATTTAAAGGTGGATGTGGCCCATATATACAATGGAATATTACTCAGCCATAAAAAGAAAGGAAATTGAGTTATTTGTACTGAGGTGGATGGACCTAGAGTCATACAGAGTGAAGTAAGTCAGAAAGAGAAAAACAAATACCATATGCTAACACATATATGGAATCTAAAAAATAATGGTTCTGATGAACTTAGTGGCAGGACAGGAGTAAAGATACAGGCATAGAGAATGGACTTGAGGACATGGAGAAGGTGGGAAGGGTAAGCTGGGACGAGGTGAGAGAGTAGCATGGACATATATACACGACCAAATGTCAAACAGATAGCTAGTGGGAAGCAGTCGCATAGCACAGGGAGATCAGCTGGGTGCTTTGTGTCCACCTAGAGGGATGGGTTTGGGGGGGGAGGGAGATGCAAGAGGGAGGGGGTATGGGGATATATGGATACATACAGCTGATTCACTTTGTTATACAGCAGAAGCTAACTCAACATTGTGCAACAGTTATACTCCAATAAAGACGTAAAAAAAAATAAAATAAAATAAAGGTGGTCTCCTACTTAGGATCTCACCTTATACAAAAGTATCCCAGGGTACTTTAAAGTCAGCTTGGGTATAGTCCCAGCTCCACCACTTTCTAGCTAAGTGATGGCCTAGGAAGACCCACTACACTCTCTAAACCTCAGTTTCCACGTGGATGAAATGAGGTTAATAATAGTATCTTCTTTATAGTAATGTTTTAAAGATTAAACCTCTATCACATTGCAGTATAATTATTTACGTTCATGAATCTTTCATTCTTTCTTTCCATCAGCAAATATCACTTGAGAGTCTACTAAAGTGGATATTGACTCTGCCTCTATCTCTCTGACTCTTAGTCATGTGGCTTTGAGAAGACTACTTAACATCTTTGTCAATGTTATCATCTATAAATTTGAGATAAAAATAGCACATATCTCATAGGGTTACTGTAAGATTAAATGAGCTAATACAAGTAACATATTTAGTACAAAGCCTAATAAAAATTAGAAAATCAATAGATGTCAGCTAGATTTTTATTAATGTTTTCTTCCTCCTTTTCCTCCTCTTTTTCCTGCTCTTTCTTATTCTTTTTCTTATCACCATCATCATCATCATGCATTCTGCTAGACCTTGTCCTATTAGGAGGTGATATTCTTTCTTTCATTCTACGGTAATAAATATAAGTATGATACTGAACGTTAGCTCCTGTGATTGGTCAAGACCTTTTAGTTTGCAGCAAAAGAAAGTCAACTCAAACTGTCTTCACTGAAAAAGGGAAATTCTTTGGCTCATGTAACCAAACAAAACAAAAGCAAGAGGTAGGGCTGGTCTCAACATCATTTGGATCCAGGAACTCAAACTTTGTCAAGACATTCCTTCCCAGCATTCTCATCTCTGCTTCATTTTGAGCATAGGTTCCATTCTCTCCTTCTGCAGACAGCTCTCTCTGTGAGGCAGAGATCACACACTGAAAGTTCTGGGTCTGAATCTTAACAGGTCCTGACAAGGTGACAAGGGACCTTACTGTCTAGCTCCAATCGGAAAAGAACATGGAAAAGGCATTAATTGGCCTGTTCTGGGTCACATGCCCTTGAGCTGCATGAGATTATGCACTATACATGTTATGATGAGATTATATTCTATATGCTAACAGGG